GCGTAATCACATACGAATAGAGTTAGGATTTCGAATATTTAGCTCGTGTAAATATTAATTGTTTGTAATTATGTTACATTTATTCCCTTCGGAGTGTCCAACTGTATTACGGTTGATAATTCGAACGATAGAGATACGAGGCGTAAAATTAATGCGGTAAATTGATCGGTAGACCGAGCAAATTGTATTCTTTCGAGTTAACCGATTTTCCTCATCGTGAACATTATTATTTCATACCTCTGACACAATTTATGCGAGATTAATTTAAAGGAAGTTAACCGGGGAAATCGTCTATGAATTTATGCATTAAATCATTATCGAATTTGATCAACGTAGTAGACGCGGGGTCAACCAATCAGAGAGTTACACTGGGAATACACTTATCTATTCTCTCTATGTATTTCATCTAAAACTAATAAAAATAAATTGCACAAATATTATTTTTCAATATTAATTAACATTGACGATAGATCAAATTGCAAAATAAAAACAAGTTTATTACGTCGATCTGTCTCGTATTTTTTTTTCCTTTTTAATTTTCTTTTTTTTTTGTTTTCTGTTTACAAACGTTTCAATTTTTTTATACTTTTTTTTTTTATCAATTTTTTTTACCCCGTCATGTTTGACATTAAGAGAAACTAATTTTGGACAACCTCAGTGACTCTCCATTCATTTCGATATCTTAAAAAAAATTATTAAAAATTGTCAACGCTTCTGCAATTTCTTTGACATTTGATTGCAAGACAAACTGGTATCTTGCCCTGGTAACTTGAACTTTCATTATGTCGAACTAAACTATATTATCTATTATCTGAAATCAATACAGAATATTATAAATTTCTAATGAAGTTCATTAAAATTTAAATAGATTGCATATATTTGTTCATCTTGTATATTGGATAATTGAGAAGGCTAGATAATAGTACATTAAATATTAATACAAAATAAAACACTTTTCTTTATCTTTTAACAACGAATATATATTACAGCACTTGCCATTTTTTTTTCTATCTAATATTACTAACTTTGATCAGACCACCAATTAAAAATTATATTGCAGTGAATATGGATCTGAGTATATAATTTTTTAAACATGGAATTATGCCCTATTAGTACTTGCTGGTCATATGAAAAGGCAATACGCAGAGCACAGGTATAATGTCAGAATATAAAAATCTATGCGTAAGGACTGGAGGCAAGTCATGTGAGTCACAAGATAAAGATTTTGAATCGAATGAGGGAACTTATATAATAGCGAAGCTGCCAAACCCCTATTATTCTTTTAGATGTACAACTCTACTATTTTTGGTACTCGAATAGATTCTTTGTTCTTACTCCTGCATGGGTAAAATATTAGCATCTCTTTTTCAAAACAAATTTGTCAATCTTGCTCATAGCGAAGAGTTTCTTCTCTATTGATGTATTTCCAAATTTTGATATATAGTCAATTGGGCATGACAGATAGAAGATCACACATTAACTTCACTGTCTTCAGAAATTGAAAAACCAGGCCACCAACATATCGGTTGACTTGAGGTATATTAGCTGGTCAGATTTCGATGATAATTTATCTGACATCTTGTACATCGAATAGGACCAGACCGTCTAAAAAAATTTTATGCTCTTGTATATTAGATAATTAATATGCAAATAATAATACAAAATATAAGTATTAATACAAAATATAAAATCTTTATTTATTTTTCAACAATGAATATACATTACAGAGAAACTTGCCATTTTTTCTTTCTAATATCAATATTTATTTATTTATTATAACAGATGAAAAGTAACATTTTTAACGACAAGAGATGTTTCTTATGATCAATCAATTTGAAAAATATCATTGAATAATAATAAAGCTAAATAAACAAAATGGTATATAAAAGAGATACACTTTACAAGATAAATAAATTTATATATTTAGCAGATTAATACTGTATTGAGAAAATATTATTCATAGAAATATCAAATTAGGTGAATGTAGAAACACTGGATTATCTTCTACGCACATTTGATGTATTTAAGTAGGAAACTTATATTAAATTTTAAAATAAACTAACAGGTCAAACTACTAAAATTATTAAAAACTTCTATATTTGCGCAAACAGATTTGAACAAACACTTAATTGTTAAACAGGATTTGTCCTATGAAACAAGTCAGGTTTAACAATTCTAAAAGTTCTACGTTAAAGAAGTGAAGAACAATAGCACCTCTTTGATTATAAGTTTTTGCTAGTGTAGGTTTTTCTAATTTGTCCGTGGAATTTTCTTGTAGTTAGAGTTTGCTGAGTCGTTACAAGAACTTTTCGTACTTTTTATCTAATAGATTCGAGCAATGAAAGAATTGCTCCAAGCAGTGGCTATTTAGAATGTTTCTCACGTTAATATTATTCCAATAATTTCCAACAGTCATCGTCAAAATGTGACAGGTATTCTGATCTGATACTTTAAACGTATAAATTTTAAAACTTAGTATATTTATATAAGACGATATAAAATTATAATTTTTATTTGTTATTACAAAAGAATGAGATTATAAAATAGAGAAAGAAAGAAAGAGAGACAGAGAAAAACAAGGGAAAAGAGATAAAATTTATTAAAAAATTTTTTTATTCTTTTGTTTCTCTTCTTTATAAGAATAAAAGTCTTGTCAGATATAACTTCTCAAGAAAGTATATATATATCTCCTTTCTCAACTACCTTTTTTCCTTTCTCCTTTTTTCTTATTTCGTCTTTTTCTTTTTGTTTTTTTCATTAATACATCAAACGTAGATAAGCGTTACTTGATATTCAAAATCGCGCCATGAAAAACTAACCTCTTTAATGATGTTCAATTCTTTTCGTGGGCTTTATTGAGAAAGAAGAAAATGTAAATGTATTTTCAATGGTACTTTCCTTGCGTCGTTCCTAGTATCGTATATATATATTGGCAATCGATATCGTAATAAAATTAGATTGTAATTAGTTCGAGTTTAGAACTACGAATTCAATCGCACGTAACGTCGTTCAATTACTATCGACAATTTCGAAGGAAATGGCGTCCGATCGGACTACTACCATGGTTCTACAAAACGGAATATGCATAAATCAAATTAAGAGTAACAATGCTACGAGATAGATGAGAGTCATTTTCTAATTTTTCCATCGACTTTATAAAATATTAGGTAAATGGATGTTAAAATATATATATATATGTATACATATTTATACATACTTTGTAAATAAATATATATATACATACATATATATAATCCTTTAATGCATTATAATACAAAAGTAAATTAAACGATTGTTACTTCGAATAGTATATAATATTGTATTTTTATGTTATTTCTTTGAAAAGAATCGCATATATACGTCTCGAATTCTCGTACACTATTTTACACATTCGCAATAGTAAATACGATAATACGGAACGTTATCTTTTATGTATGTACATTTTCATTTAGAAAAAGCTTCTTTCTATTATTCGTAGCAAGACAAATTGGACTTCGTTAAAATTGTAATTTAATTCTATTAGCCTTTTAAAGTTTTTCATCACTCCTAGTTTTATAATGGTTTACGTCAACGATGACTAGTCCAAATATAATTCTTGAATGATTTTGATGTACAAATTTAATGTTTAAGTTAAAAATCATACAATTGTTTCAACTTTATAAAGCTAATAACTTTCATCCCTTTTAATATTGAATAATTTAATTCTACTTGTAAATGTAAGAACATTTAAAGTTTAAGACGTTGCAAGCAAATATAGAATAAGCAAAACAAATAATTCAATGACTTTGATAGATTTCGAATTAGGTATCATTCATATTTCAATCAGTAAAAATGTCAGCTCTCTTTTTTATACAAGTAAGCTGGAATAATTAAATACTTTTCAATAACACAGAAGTTTTATTGTCGCTGTTACCAGTAACTGACGTAACAAATACTGAAACAATAAGATGTGTCGATAATACTAGATTTCTGTTTCATCCAACAAAATGTCGGTATAATGGAATTCTATTGTATCGAGCATGTAAATGGTCAGTAACAATGAATTCCTGCTTTATCGACTTGAAGATAATACTTGATTGGTATTCTATTAATCGATAAAAGAAAATTTCTGTTTTATCCTTATGCCGGCATTATAGTAAATTCCAGTTTTAAAACCGATTAAAAGAAATAGATTCTAGTTTCACAAATACATCGGATAGAGAAAATAACTGCTTTATTAATCCAGTAAGAATGTAGAGCAAAATATATCGACACCCCATATACCGACATGTTGGAAACAATCGAGTCCAATTTCAATGATTAAGTGTTTTTGTAATTCTGTTTTAAAGCATTAATTTGTATAAAAGAATTTTTTTTACCATCAGTTGATAAAGTAAATGTCGTTCAAAAAAAACAATTTCTAACCTTACCGAATAACAATATAATAGAATTTGTTTGCCATCAGTCAGTAACGAAGGAATCTACTTTAAAAGGGATGGGTATAACCGTACAAGAGACTGCATTAATTATCTAAAAAGTTGGTCTTACCAGTTAGAGGGCAGGGTCAATTTTGTAAGGTCATGGCCAACTTTATAGAGGAGCCGGACTAAGCTGACAGGTGGTGTGTTTAACTTTGAGGGCATGTGGCTAGCTTTGTAAGGGAGGACTACTTTTTTAAGAGCAGGGCTAACTTCATTGGTGGGACTACTTTTTTGGAGAGTGACTAACTTTGTTGGGCAGGGGGGGAGGCTACTTTTTTAGGGCGAGGCTAACTTTGAAATGGGTGGAGTTAACTAAAGGGCTTCACGTACGCTTCACAAATTCGACAATTCATTTGACTATAACTATTATCTTAAAAATCCGATCATGTCGAAGATAAAAGATACTTTATAATATTTGATAAGGAAAATATGATATATGATAAGAAAAAATGAGATAAGAAAATTTTATATATAAGAGATAGAGTATTCTATTAAAATTATTATTTTTTACAAAATATTTTACAGAACCTCGTTTTTTTTGTCGTTAATTATTACATGTATCGATTATATTTATTATTCTTTATGTATTTATATCGTAAAATAAATGCGCATTAGCTTTGTGCGCGTTATATTTAATACGTATCATTGAAACGCATGTCACCACTATCAATGAAAGGTGTACATAAATAAAAGAAATTGAAAAGTGTGAGTTTTACAGCTACTAAACTATCTGCTTTAATCCACACTAACCTGATTATGTTGCGCGTGTATATATATATATATATATATATATATATGTATTGTGACAAATAATATTTAATGTCACATTTTTAGAACTTGAGATACTATTTTGAAAGGACGATTTATCTCTTCGAATTTAATTTATTAATTATTTATTTTCTTAATTAGTAATTAATTATATTTATTATGTTAATAGTATATGTCTGGAATGTCATCGTATACTGATCCAAGAATAGTGAATTGTTCCTAATTTGTCTCTTATAAATAAGTTCCATTTTTATTTGTTCCTTAATGACTATTTATATATGTGTAAAACTATTAAGTTAGAAAAATTAATATTTATTACAGAAAATGGAAAAAACTATCAGTAAAATACTTGATGTGTCTTGGAGATTCGGTGGTAAGAATAACTAACCTCAAACACAGAAGATGATAATAATTTATAAAAACTGTTAATATAATATAATATAATATAATATAATATTGACATTATAAATGTAACAACAACATTTTAATGCTTAATTGATTAATTGCATTTTTGGTTATGTTTATATAAAATTATATTTAATATATATAGGTTACTTGAAAGAAGTATAAAAAAATATAGTTTTTAAATAATAGTGCTTGCTATCAGAAATTAGTATAATTAGTAAAATGTTTAAATAATAAATACTGATATTATATTATTTGTTTTATAATATTATATTAATTTTTTTCAGTAACCGCAGCAAATAGTGATTCGGACAAAGTTGGCAAATCTTTTCTGCAGCTAAAATTATGTCTCGATGAAGGTAACAGAATAAAAGATCACTTCATCGAGATGAGTATCCCTGAATTTTATAAATTTTTGCATGATCTAGAGAAAGCAAAGATTAATCTCGACTTATTAGTTTGAATACTTTAATTATATATAAAAGTAATATAAATGTTATATCATCAACGTACAATTACTTTAATGTTAATTATAATATATAAGTAACATGTTATCTTTTGTTGAAATCAATTTTAAAATATATTGAAGTAATATTTTTTTTTTTATTTAATAAATAACAATAGATAACCTATCTTTTATTTACAATATTGTAGGTTTCTAATTTATATCTAAAAATATTTTTATCCTATATATTATTTTATATAACATTAAGAAAAATTAGTTTTACATACCTTCAGATTTCTTCATTTATTTCAACATTTTATAAAACTATTAAGAATCATACTATTGAAGTATAACTTTAATATTTTATTTGATTTTATGATAAACTAGTATCTTCTTTTCAGTGTATTAACAGTTTTAACTTTTTAAATTCCATTGCGTTGATACAACCTCTTGGATTCTGCATAATTTATCTGAAATTAATACATAATATATCATAAGTTATCTGAAATTAATACAGAATATTATAAATTTTTAATGAAATTCATTAAAACTTAAATAGTTCGTGTATATTTTGTGATCTTATATATTGAATAATTAAAAGGCCAAATGATAGTATACAAATATTAATACAAAATAGGAAAATCTTTATTTATTTTTCAACAACGAATATACATTACAAAAAGAGAAAGAGAGAGAGAAAGAGAGCTTCTTTTTTCTACTCGATATCAATATTCATTTATTATAGCAGATATTCATTTATTATAGTAAATAATATATTTAAAGGCAGGAGATGTTTATGATAATCAGTCAATTTAAAAAATATCATTGAATAATAATAATAAAGCTAAATAAACAAAATGGTACATAAAAGAGATGTATTTTGCATCTGACATGATAAATAAATTTATTAATTATATTTGCCAGATTAATACTGTATCGAGAAAATACTATTTATAGAAATATCAAAATTAATGAATGCAAAAACAATGGATTATCTTTCAAGTACATCTCATGCATTTAAATGGGAAACTACCATCAAGTTTTAAAATAAACTAACAGGTCAAACTACTAAAATTATTTAAAACTCCCGCATTTGCACATACAGATTTGAACAAAAACTTGTTTGAAAAATATTTGTCATGTGAAAGACAGGAGGTTTTACTGTTCTAAAATTCCTACGTTTAACAGTAGGAGGACTAACAATGGCGCCCCTTTGATTATAAGGTTCTGCTAGTGCCAGTGCAGGATTTTCTGATTCGGATGTGGAATTTTCTTGTAGCTTGAATTCGCTGAGTTGTTGTAAGGACTTGCCTCTTTCTGCTCTTTGTTGAATAGATTCAAGCACTGGAAGAATTGCTCCAAGTAGTGGCCGTTTAGAAGGTTCTCCAGCCCAACATTGTTCCATTAATTTCCAACACTCATCATCAAAATGTGGCAGACGTTCTGGTCTAATGCCTTTCAAACAAATAGATAAATTTCAAGATCTTTAAAATACAAAAACATAAGAAAATATAAAATCATAATATTTACCTTTCTTTACGCTTGTCCATAATTGTTCTTTATTATGAAACTGTTCATAGGTATATGGCACTCTGACATGTCCAGCACATATGTGCCAGAAAAGAATGCCAAAAGCATATACATCGACGCTACTATCATAATGTCCAGATAGAAGTTCTGGAGCCATATGAACAGGTGTTCCTACAATACTTCCTGACATCATAGCTTCGGTGATACAAAATCCAAGGTCAGTCAGTTTTGCTCTATTTTCAGTATCAAGGAGGACATTATTCAATTTAATGTCTCTATGAACAAGTCCTTGAGAATGAAGATAACGTATCCCTTCTAAGACATCAATTGCAATTTGCAAACGTTCTAACCATGACAATCCAGCTCGTATTCCACAATACAGATCTCTACTTAAACGGTCTGTAATTAATAGAACTGCAGTTCCTAATCCATATCCACTTCCATAAGTTTGATCTATAACTGAACCTCTTAATTTCACAATTCTTTTATGATCTGGTATTGATCTGGTATAATAAAATTCCATTGCTAAATCGTTCCAATGTCTTTCATCAGGTGGAATAACAGATTTAACTGCACAAGGTCCTGGAGCTCCTCCCCAACCATCGCATGCAAACACTACACCATATTGACCACGACCAATTTCTTTACCATAATGCGGTATACCGAAACGAACAGCATCAGTCATTGATGTGGATTCTAAGGCTAATCTAGCTAATCTTGGTGCATGACACTTTCTAATGGCTATCCTTTGTTCCTCAGTTCTTTCTAACTTTCCAGAATAATGATTTTCAAGGGACTTTAGGGCCGATTGAAATGCATCATGAGACAATTTTAATTTATCTCTGAATTGCATTGAAATTGTTTTTGATAATCTTGCTGCAGATAATGAATTTAAAACGTCAATAGTAACCTTTTTCCTCCAAGATTCATCCAAGGTTGGAGTAGGAGTCCATGGCAAAGGAAGAGATTTAAAAAGTTGCCGTAATCTTTCTAGAAAAGAATGCACAAGAGACGGCGAAGAATTATGAAGTTCTACATTATAAGCTGCAGAAAGTATTTGTTTCAAAGCGTCACTAGCTAGTAAAGAAGATTCATGATCATAACTTCTTTCTAAACTCAATAAGCACCGTTGTAAAGTGCCTATAAATGTTTCTCTTAAACATTTCACAGAGTTTACCAATTGCTTTGCTACTTTTTCACGCAAACGTCCAAGTACAAATCTTTGCACTTCTGAGGTGGCTGCTTGTACTGTCACTGACCATTCTGCTCTTTCATTATTATCAAAAGGAAAGTTTTGATATTGTTGTGAATCTCCATTTGATAAATATATATCATTTTTCATTTCTTGAATGATATTTTCTATTAATTCCATTAATTCTTCTTGTTTATCGTTAACAATTTTCATCAGATTAGCATACAATTCATTTTCTTTTTGTTGAGCATATTGTATTCTCCTTGGAGTAATCTGAATTTGACGTGCCATATCAAAAGCACTTAAGATAAATTTACGTAAACTGGTTGTATGTACTTCATTTAAATAATTACTTGCATTAACAAGATAACTTTGAAGACAACCTTTAATAAAATATAAAATTCTATCCATTTTCTTGGATGAGTTTATAATATTGCTAGAGCTAACATATTGACCACCAACTAACCATGTTAATTGATCAACTTCAACAGATTCTTCCATTCCAAGATATCCTAAATTAGTTAATTGATCTAGCCATGTTAATCCAAGAGAATTTATTTTATCAAAGTCAACATCATCTTTATCTTTAGATAGATTAGAATCACATGGAGATATTGTACTTTGAAGTCTATGTTGTTCCGATTCTGTCAATCCTGCATTAATGCTATCTAATGAAATATTTACAAGCGACGATATAAATAATACAGGATTATAAGGATATGTTTCTTTCAGATCTCTTAATTCTTCTAGCTGTTGTTCCGATAAAGGTTGATCGCCCAAGGCATAAAGAAATATTGGTAAAATTCCAAGGGTTCCCTTTGCAAGAATTTTAACTGCTCCATTATTTGGGACTACAAAAATTTGAACACCATCTTTTAATATATTTGAATCGAGTTTGACTTCAAGCACTGTTGGACAAACAATATCTTCATTTCCGGATTTAGTCAAATCTTCTATTGGAATTGTGCTCCATGGTTTTTCATTCGCTTGCAATTTTACCACAACTTCATATTCAAGACCCAACGTAAGATTGGCATGATTCGTATGACCATGACTAAATTTGATCCACCTCCATAAACCATTAGACGCTGGTAATACTTCAGTAGAAAATAAATTATTTATTAAAGCTGCTTTAGATTTATTGTCTTGACCGAATACAACTATAGCTGGAGAATTTTCCAAAATATGTACAATTCTGTTTAAAGTTAATGGCGATAATAATTGTTCAATGATATTTTCTGAAACATTAATAGAAAATTAGATATAATATAAAAAAAGAAATACATACACACACACACACACACATATATATACATACACACACAAACGTATAATTGATATTTACCTCCAGGGAAAAAATTTTCTAAATTAATGGCTTCAAGCACATGTTGAGTCTCTTCTAAAATGTGCCTTAATTGATTACGATTACGTTGGTATCTTCTGAATTCGTGTGATAATTTGCTTACCATTTTTAAACCTTTCCTTTTAATCTATAAAATTATTCCAACTTATAGATTATAGTCTTCAAAATATTCACGAATAATAATATCACACTGTTATTTCTAAGTATTTAAATATAAAAATGATGAACTAATCATATATGTAGATATATATCAAATTAAGTTTCATTTTTTATCTTTCTTTCTTTTTTTCTTTTTTTTTTAAACATCACATTAATAGACTAACATTGAATTTGAATGAATTATCTTTATTTCACGAACGAACATACTTATTATTTGAAAGTTTACAGGAAAGCATCGAATGATTAATTAAAGACATCTTATCACAGTAATGCGGTTTTAGAATGTAAAACATACGCATTTCTTAACTACACAATTTAATAATATTTGATATAACTCTTTTCATATTATATTTCACTTTAGCTGAGAACATAAAAGATATTTTATTTGTTTATTCACACAATCTTCTTCTTTTTTTTTTTTTACTCTACGCATGTGAGAAGATGAGTAGAAGAGAGACAGAGAAAGAAAGATAGAGAGAGAGAGAGAGAGAGAAAACGTGGTACCGTCGGCACGATTGTAAATCAGAATTTCTATTTTTTCGACCGACATAGGAATTATTCATGAGATTATATCCTGTGACAACTGAGTTACTCATATAACCTATTTATAAATGTACTTTTTTCTCGTCGTCAGATAAAAATTTACTTATATATATATATATATATATATATATATATATAATACGTAGTATCACGTAAACGTTTTCATCAGCTTTGACAGTCGGTTTAATAAGTTACCCGAGGAGGAGGAGGAGGAGGAGAGGGAGAAGAAGAAGAAGATTGTAGAAGAGATAGAGAAGGAGAAGAAGAAGAAGGTGAAAAGAAATGAAGAAAAGTTGATAACACGCGTTGTCGTTCGTTTTAAAAACAATAAGACTAAAAGTTCAGAATAAGATAACCGATCAACGCATATTGGTCGACTGCAATGATTCGACAATGTTCGGTTTTCTTCGACTGTTTCCGACAGTAAAAGAACGCGCGCGGTTGTTTTAATTAATCACAGAATTTGTGAGGATTCACAAGTACGTTTTGTAATCATATTGTACCAACGCGCCAATATATAATCATCCTATAAAGAAAATAGAAAGAATTGAAAGATAAAATTGTATGCGCCATTTACTTAGGCCTTGATATAGATATATATATATACATACATACATACATATGTCTCTGTGTGTGTATGTGTATGTATCTTTCTCTGTTCTAACATTATATTTTAATATCGATGAAGCAAGAAGAGTACACGTACATAGGAAAGTAATGATCGGACAAACAACAAATATTTTTTCTTTCTTTCTTTTCTTTTTTTTTTTTTTTCCATTGTATGATAAAATTTATAAAACAAATTCTCCGAGGGCGGTCTGTGACGTTTAATGATGCGCTTGAAATCATACATTCGCGTTTCTTTATGATAATTTTATTCGAAGAAAGTAGACACAACCCTCGTAAACCCCTCTATGATGAACGCTTAATAAATGATAAAGCACGATATCGAAGACGTTTCTTTTCTCAGCCAAACGAATGCTTAATATAAACTTAAAACAAGAAAGATATTATTACCTTATCACAGTTTTATTTTCAACTAACTTATTAATTGCTTGATCTTTGATATTTAATGATCTTATTTGTTAGATTAAGAGAGTACATTAACCTATATAATTTATATATATATGTATATATATGTAATAAATACTTAACCTATAGTGCCGATCATATCGATGCCAATTTTTCTTTCGTTTGTAAGATACACGTCTTTCCTGTTGTTTATTTATTTATTGTTTTTTTTTCTTCTTTACCGTCCTGGGACAACTTAAGGATACATCCGCAATGCAATAAATAATCTTTTTAACATAATACTTTCTAGTGTGGATTCTTAAAATGTAAAACTTTGCTTGAAACGTTCGAACACGATACGATACTAATAATAATTTATATTAAATTATTTCTTCACCTTTTATAAATTATATACATTAATATTATATTATTAATATTGCATTAATATTATTTTATAATGTTTATGTTTCAAAAACGGTTGACCTTTCGACCGATGTCTAAAACATTTTTACTCGGTATAGGATGTTTTATGCACGCTAGTATAAATATTGAATATTCTCTCTTTTTCTTTTTTTTTTTTTTTTTTTTTTTTAACATCCTGTATAAATAATCAATGAAAATCAACAAATGATTTGTTAAAAAAATATAGTTTGAAAAGACCAATCACGTGGCACTTTGACATTCGAGAAAATTCGAGACGATCTTTGATTCGTTCTCAAGAATTTACTGAATGCGCCATTTCTGCCATCTTTGATAACTTCAGTGAACTACGATTTATTCGTTGCCGCGTTTTTAGGAAACGTTTTATTGCATTTTAACAATTGTCATTAAGCATTTCTGATTATAAAATTATTCGATAAAAATGACATCGGCATTGGAGTCTATGGTTGTCGATGAAAAGCAGCTTCCTGAAAAGCCAGTAGATAGGGAAAAGGTAAATAATAAATATATCATTGAGAACATGTATTTATATATATATATATGTTGTGTGTATATATATGTATATTTATATGTATATAAACAGATTTTTAAGAATATTTCATTAATAATTTTTGATAAATTTCGCAATCTATACAATATAATCGATCGTTGTAATATTGATAATAATTTGAGATTTTAAGGTTATATCGTTTTCTCTGTCAGACATGCCCTCTCTTGCTACGAGTTTTCTGTAATACTGGACGACATCACAATATTATGGAATACAGTAGAGGAAATGTACCTTCCAATGAATTGCAAATATATACATGGTAAAGTTAAAGCGATAAGTATGTTTTTGATTCATAATGAAATAGATTTCTAATTTGTCCAAATCATTTTTATGCTTGTATGAAAACCAGCTTGTATGAAAATATATGTCATTTATAAATGTTTATTAATCTGTTTGTTTTTTATATTTGCTTGTGAAGGATGGATGCTACTCTACGAGAAATTACAGGCCTCGTTAAGGAAGTAAATCCAGATGCACGGAGTAAAGGAACATATTTTGATTTTTCTTTGGTAACTCCAGAATTAAGAAATTCTGGTTATAGAATGAGAGAAATTGGTGTTACATGTTCAGGACAAAAAGGAGCAGATGATAATAAAACATTAGCACAAGCACGGTGGGTATATTGACTAATTGATTATATATAATTGTAATATAATATTTTTAATAGTATGTTTAATAGTAATCCTTTGTTACTACAGTAAGATATCAAAGATATAAATAGAATTTTGATATTTATCTTATATACAATATAATTACTATAGGTGATTATTATAGGTTTACTATAGGTGATTATTTGGATATATCTATAACACCACCTAATAGAATGATGCAACCTGCTATCAGACGTGGTGGTCTTCGTCAGTATTAATTTCATATGAATTTTCTTCGATCTCTATAAATCTGTGTAAATGGCTATAATGAAAAATTGGAAATAAAGCGACTTTGGAAAATGTATATTTCTAAGAAGCATAAGTTATGTTTTGTAATAATAAATGACATAATTGAAAGAAGCTAAAATATTTATATAATATTTGTGTATTTTAATGAAATCATTAAAACAAAATATTTATTTTCTAATATCTAACTATTTACCTATTTTACTTAAATACTTATAGTTAAATATCTATTATCTAATACGCTTAATAATTTTTGTTATTTGTTATTATTCATGTCGAAGATTATTCTAGAGAGGTATACCAATAAAGTGTATACCAATGAAATCAATTTGTAGTTTCCTGTTTTATAGAGAATAGCTTATTTATCGACAGTCGCAAAAATGTAACAGGAAATATTACATTATTACATTGGCCAATGAAAATATATCGCCATATATTTGATAGAATTTTATATAAATATAAAAATATAATGAAAAATGTTATCTTTTTTTTGTTTACAATATTTTATGTTACGTTGATAAGAAAGATTATTGAATCTGTAATACCGACTGTACTATAGAAGGTACTTCATAGAGGGCACTTCGTTTGTACCGGCACATGTAGCTAATTACACTTGAGATCTATATCCGTTAATTATTCATTCGTTTGAATTTCTTATTCGCGAGTTGCGTGAACGCGGATGATGGGAAAGATTAACTTAAGAAATTAGAAGATTTTATTAATTTATATTCACTTTAAAGGTAGGTAAATGTATGTTTAAGAGAGAATGTATTTATTACTTTTCAATATAATAATCGTTAAGTTCATCGATCATATGAAAAGATTGTAATATCGAAATATCAAAGTCATCCATCTTGTTTATTTGTGAATTACTTTTATAAAGATTATCGAAGAGTTCTCGTCATTTTTCTCATTGCATTATTTTTCATTGAATCAAAGCGATTTCTTTTTCTACGTACGTACCATAATGACGATACTATTATTTTCGCGAGAATATTTGACGATGTACGACGTTTACTTAGCGCAATTTACATAAATACTTTTCGTTCGTTTGACAATTCTTTAAATATAATATATTTTTTTATGTAAGTATATATATATTTATATCTATATATCTATATATATATATATATATATATATATATATATATATATATATAATTAAGTAAGTATATATATATCTATATATATATTACACACACACACACACACACATACACACACACACATATATATATATTTATATATATGTGTGTAACGGTTATTGGTGCCATATTAATTTTGACTGTTACATTAGAAAGACGTATAAAAAAATTTTATTATTACCAAGGTATGATTCTCATGTAATAGATTGTATGCAATATAAGTTATATTTAATATAACCTAACCTTATTACGCTGTTGTATTGATATAGTATAATATGATGAAAATAGGTCGCTGTTGACGTATCGTAGCTGATTGCATATTCAGAAAGAGAAAGAAGAAAAACAAGAAAGGAAGAAAAAGAGAGAGGGGAGAGAGAGGAAGAGGGAGAGAAAGAGTGGTTGGAAGAGAAAGAGACAGACAGGCAGAAAATAAAAAAAAAAACGTCCATCATTCCGGTAAGTGTTTATTAGCGATAATGATCATTTAATTTCTTTTTTCTTTTCGTTTTTGGGGGTGATGGGTAGAAGGCCATACGATATTTCTATACATAGGACAAAGTAAAAAGGGATGATAAATAGATCGATGATCGACGATTGATACGAAATATATTTCATATGAATTTTTATAATCGACTTTGAGAGATAATTTTATTTAAAATGATTATTTTCATGATTTCGTAAATTAATGTAAGCTTGTCGAGAAGTTTGTCGGTGTTTGCTCGACGTCGCAATTGGCTTTTCTCTCGTATTTTACAAAGGAACGAAAGTGCCTGTAAAAAAAACCGGACGATTGCCCGTTTACATCTTGTTTGCCGGGCTATCATCTACCGGTGAAATGAAAAAAAGGGGGAAACATGCACGTGGTTGACGTACGCCATGTGAAAC